GATGTTAATTGTATGACAAAACATACTTTAAATTTTTAAATTTGCAATGATATTGAGTTCCCACAGTTTTGGCAAAATCCTAGATTACAATTCCAAGCAGGATCCGGAAGGTCTGTTTTGAGTATCTTACTGCAGCTGCATGGAACTCCATTTTAGATACTTTCATGACTATTTCAAATTAAGGACGAGAATCGAGTTTCCTGGAGTTTCCATTTACTTCTCCATCCTCTCAGATATCTCCAGTGTAATACTTGGAAAGTGATTTTATTTCTTCCTTTAATATTATTACCACTCTTTTGGCTCACTCCTTTCTGGTTCTATGCAAGTTTTATTGTTTTCATCATTTTACATAACTCGATATGATAAGTATTTGACATGTGTATATAAAGTGTTTTCTATTAGAGTTTATTTTTTCCAAGAGGTCTAATTAAAAAATGTATGACCATAAGTTATCTTTAAAATAACTCCTGCTTAAATGTTGTTATACTTCATTTCTTAAAGATTAAAGATTTAAATTTAATCCATTTGCCTTAGAAAGCATCATAACAACCATATTACATGGTTGGAAGAAAATCAATGTCTTTTTAAAGAAATACCATAAATGTCAAAAAGTAAATTGACCTTTTTTCATGCCTTTGTCAATTTCACACCACTTTTATTGAATTTTATTTGGTGAAGTAATTTTTAGTACCTATTGACCTTCTCTGTGAAAACTATTTCAGTGGTTACTAATGATTCATTAGTGAACTTTTCAACAAGGCTATCCTTGAATTTGTAGCAACATAGAGAATTATGTTTGGTCCAACACATCTGTTGTACTTGTCAGGTTTTAGTTCTCAATTATGGGAATGTCAGAAACCGTTTGACTGGGTTAGGGTTATCCGTGAATTTTCATATTACTTTATGGCCAACGGCTGCATTTTATGACTATATATTAAATGTTTCATTTTTTTCAAATAACTTTTTCCAATGTTCTCAATTTCCCATCCAAAGGATGTTAGTCATTTGCCCAGACATCTACTGTTCAGTAAGTTACAGCTAGTGCAAAGCCCAAAATAAATAAGATACAAAAATAAAACCCTTTTAAAAAAACCAGTGTGCCCAAAACTACATTCTTGACCTTTCACTCTATCTCCTCTTGGTATACCATACCTTCAGCTTTTAATTGGAACTTTTGTCATTATTGTTGCCATTTAACACATTTAGTCTGTCAAATCATGGGATGTCTTTATAGCCATATAATAAACCCTAGAGAACAACTTCTCTGACTGTAACCATCTGCAATGATCACAAGAGTAGCTTACAAAATACTGACAGTCTTTATGGTAATAGGATACATATGGCAACCCACAATTATGTGTAGCTGCATTCAATTAGTGTTGTACAATTACATAGTTTTATTGCTTAGTTAAAACAGTGAAAGCACTACATACTGAGTAATTTGCACTAATTCTCATCTCTTTAATAGCCCCTCGGTGTTTAGAGTGTGAGGGAATGTCGATAGCATTTAAAGGACCTGGGATGAACATTAAATTATATCTCAGGTTGTGAACACTCCTTGACTGACAATTAATGTACTCCCACTTCACGTGTGGGTCATGTTTTATAGAGGCTTTAAAATACAGTTTTAGCAAAAAGTTCTTCTTACACTAGAACCCCATTCATGGGATGTCCAAGTCTCTGCTTGTAGCCTGCTAATGTCCTTTCTGGAAGATGGTCAGGTTGAGGAGAAATGCTGAGGAACAGAGTCAGATGGATTTCAAGAGTAGAAACCAGGGATTTAACACTTTAAAGGGGAATTTGTGAGAAGCCTTTCTGATTTCTAACTTTTAATTAAAAACTTGCTTCAAAGTGAATTTATAGCTGCCAATTTGGGAAAATGTTGAGATAGTTTTATGACTGACTCTGTGCTTGTGTGCGTGTGTGCGTGTGTGTGTGTGTGTGTGTGTGTGCATGTGTCTGAAACACATGTACTGAGAAATCTGTGACTTTTAACAAAGTTTTGATTACATTTACAATGTTCTCATTCATGCCTCCCTGGCCTGGCTCTGCAAGAGATAAGAGTGAGTGTAGCTAGGGTTGTAGCAGCTACTAATGGTGAGCAAGTCCTAGTTGTAAGAGGACTCATTATGCCACTTAGGAAAGGGCCTCTCTCCGACTGGTGGAGAAGAAATACTGAACTATATTCTTCGCCGTCCTTCTCCCAAAGTGTTGACAGAAAAAAACCCCAAAGTAACCTTGTTTCCTGCTCTGCCTGACAATATGTTAAACAATTCCAAATTCGAGGCCTGGACATTTACTCACCTGCAAAAACATTTTGTTGAAGCTTTGCTAATGTACTGTGTCTTGAAATGTTTTCAATTACAAGTAATAGGCCTTTGCCTCTAAGTTCTCTTTGTCTCTCCTAAATACCACTTGAACCTCCTTATATTCATGAAAATTCTACTCTGCAATTTTCAAAACAAAAACAGAAGATTGTGCACATGACTGAAAGATAGATTTTAAAAAGAAATATTAAAACTACAAATGCAATGTATTTTAGTTAAATAGTTTTTACTTTTTTAGAAGCATTATTGTTTTGGATAATCATTTTCTTTGTTCTAAGTAGATTTTCTAGGGTTTTCTTTTTCTTTTGTTGGGGGATACTGAAGATCGAATGCAGGGCTTTGATTTTTTCTTAGTGATTGCAACTTTGAAAATTGCTTACCTATCTTAAATATAATTAGTATGTGGCTAATTAGTATGTTAGATGGAATTCCTGTTAAACTACAGATGCTCAAAAGCCAAACACTTGCTGCATGTAAGAGACTTACAGGTCATAGTCAGAACTATAATGGGATTTACTGACTAGATCCTCAAACATCTGATTTTGAAAAGCTTTTTTTAAAAAGTTAGGTGATATAGAAATTGTATTTAGAAAAAAAAAAACCTAGAAAATTTATTCATAGAGTTGAATAGGCCAAAATCTGCACAGCCTCACTCACAAAGCACACATCATGAATTTTTGAACCTACAAAACATCAATGCAAGAGGTTATTTTGAATTTTAGAAAGTTGTTGATAGATATTTGATGCATGCCTGTAATCTCAGCACTCAGGAGGCTGAGGCAGGAGGATTGGCATAAGTTTGAGGCCAGCCTGGGCTGAAATACACAACAGGATGCTGTCTCATAAAGAAAGAAAAAGCAGAGAGAGACAGAGGGAGAGAGAGAGAGAGAGAGAGAGGAGATAACAAAAGCTATTGAAGTGGAATTAAAGAAGTAAACAATTTTACTCACAGAAATAAACTAAACAATCTACTAGACATTTGCCTCTCATATCTCTTCTCATGAAAACATTTGCTTATTGTTTAGACGACCAGAATGGCTGGCATGATGGGGCTACAGTTCTCAGGCTTGAGAACATTTAGGCTCTGAAATGTCAAAGACCTACCGCAAACCATTTTATGATGACCAGGATTGCACTGATGCTTCATTAAGTAGGAGAACAGTGTCCACCTCGAATTGCTACTGTCACATGGCTGCCTTTGCCCTAACCACCCAAGCGCAGGTCACCCCACAAGTCTTTGGATGCTTGTCCCAGGGAAGCCCAGACTTGATTATGATGCAGATCCTTACGAAAAAGACTTCAAATTCGAAGTGTGGACAAGATGTAAAGAAATAATTTCTGTCCAGAAAAACAGGCTCTTCAGAGAGGAGGATCTAATTGCCTGCCACTGCCAAAACAGTTGGATCCAAATGGTCATTGCTAATACTGCAGCCCAGCTGGCCAAACATCTGCACTTTGTGCTGCAAGAGAATGCAGTTAATCGACTTTTTCCAAGGGAAGGCAGATGTGTGGTATAAATGGTAGTGGTACTCCTGATGTGTGGAGATGTGTCCTTCTGTGCAAGAAATTCTGACTGCTTCAGCAAATAACAGATGATCATAGAGTGATAACAGAAGAACATCAAGCCTCAATCTGCTGGATGATTTTTTTTGATGTATAGGGAAAACTTTACCATTCCCTGAAGACATCTCCTGAAGATTGCTCTTGCTGGAAGTACTAGAAATTTATTGCAGTTTTCTTTATTTTGTGTATTCCAACAGAGGGAACTGAAAAAGAATTGTGAAGGAACTTTGATCCTCCCTTTGAAATCAATGAAGTTGTGTGGGATAGTGTTTAGAGTGTCTCCATTTGGTTTGCTCATGGGCTAGAATTAAAGCAGTATAAATACTTGCCTGGAGTGACAGGCATCTTTTTTTATTTGTTGAGTGAAAGACAGGAAATTTTTACTGCCTTAATAAGGTAACCCGGACAGGATGCTGACTCTGCACGTGATAAATCTCTCCAAATTGCTACAGGTGAAATGAAATGTTAATATCCCTTTCAATTATTAATAAAAATGTATATAGATCTTGTTGGAAATGTGGGGCACTGAAAATGAAGTGTTTCAGCATGGGTGTAGATTTTTTTGGTTCACTCACTGAAAGACTATTCATATGTTGGAAGGACGAAGTCATTTTCATAAATCGAGGATGCTCCAAAAGATACTTTCTGTGCTTCATTTTATTATATAAATCAATTTTAGTTGCAGAAAATAGCAAATACAGAGAAGAAAAAGGGGGAAAATATCTTCATAATCTTACCTCCTGGCCACAGAGATAATACTGTGCTCTTTCAGACTTTTGCACATTTTTTTTCTTTAATAGATATTTTATAATCTACTGTGGTCATTTGCCAAACAAAATTGTATCGGTAAATATAATCCCACATCACCATTTTAACTGTCGAGAGCATCTCATTGTAACAGTACCATAATTTACTTAACAAATTTCCATTTGCTAATTGTTCATATTTCCAATTTTGTAGTAATCTAAAAAAGGTATTCTTGTATGTATATCCTTGCATAATTGCTAGATTATTTTTTCATTTGTATTAAACATGTGTCCCTCATTTCTTCAAAGAAAAACCTTTGAGCTGTTGATTTTAAGGTGATGGTGATTTTCACTTTTCTTTTAGGTATATGAGCATCAAGATGGCAGCAAATCACTGAAGCTAGGTGACTTTGGACTGGCCACCATTGTTGATGGGCCCCTGTACACAGTCTGTGGCACCCCAACATATGTGGCTCCAGAAATCATTGCAGAAACTGGGTAAATGCTTCCCCCGTGTTTAGTGTTTTGGTTATAAAAGAGCCGGGCTGCTTCAAAAGTAATAAGCATAGTATTGTGCTGTTCTATCCAGACAGACTTAGCTATCAGATTTCTTTCAGACTTTCTTTAAAAAAAAAAAAATCTTTGACAGTGGGGGCCATTTTCTCTGCTTTCCCAATTAAATTGCTGATTACTGTTATCTTGTTTAAGGCTTTCATTTGGCCTATAAAAGGCAAAACAGAAGTTATTAACCTCAAAGTAAAAAGTGTTCGGACTAACAGAAATATACAGAAGTGGTGATTAACTCACTTTGTAAGATAAAAGAACCAGACTGCTGTGTGCAGTGATTATAGTCTCTGGTGGTTATGTCTCTCAGCTGCCTTTATCCAGTTCTGGTCCCCTTTTGATCCTCTTGGAGGTCCATTAGTTTCTTGTGGAATACAAACACTCTTAGGAATCAGAGGGCCACTGGGAATTTGCTGATTTCTATGTGCAGATTCAGATCAATGAAAGTGTCTATCCAGCAATGGAGAAGAAGAAAATGTGAGAGCACCTATTACTTACTAGTAGCACCTACTATATGACAGGTCTTAAGCTTGATTACTGAATTCCTGGTCTTCCAATAAATCCTATTCACATTGTGCACATGGGTACAATGAGATTTTGCAACTGATGGGTTAAGTACTCTGTAAGCTCATGACCAGTTAGTGGCTGAGTCAGTGTTTGAACTCGCTCAGGTTGAGAGAAAGTGTCTTTCAGTAAAACTGTTTTTTTCCAGAGCCATAGGCAGCCCTCTGAAGTGCTAAACTTCAACAGAAGTGTGGAGAGGGTGGGGTGGAAAGAAGAGCCAGCCCTAACTTCTCATGAGCAATTTTAATCCACACCTGGAGATCCAGATGGCATCCTCCATTGTGACCATCCAGAAATAGTTTTTCTGCTTGTACTATAGACCCATTGATTACAAAGAGCAGGAAGGACCCTGATAGGGAAATTCCTGGGAAGACATATGAGAGAATGAGGACTTTTTTAGTCATTGAATTTGGTGATTTGGGACCCTACATTAGTACCTCATCTGACTGCCTTCAGATGGTGCTGCTGGTTGATACCCACATATCCATTTCCCATGAGGACAGACTCAGCTTCCAGGATGGGGTGGGGTGGGTTGGAAGAGGATTTATTTAGGCTTTTGAAGACCTCTGTTGAAGACCTCTACCACTGACAAACTGAACTATTTTGAGCAAAATTGCCCCCTGAAACTCAGTTTTCTCTTCCATAAAATAAGCGATATTTGCCCTGTCCAACCTGCAAAGTTATTGGGAAAACAAAATAAGATAATGTATATCAGTGGTTATAAACCACAAAATGTTCTTCAAATAATTATTTCTAAAATTGATCTCAAATGTCCTTCCTATCTCAAAATTGATATGACTATAATAAACGTTTTTGCTGAAACTTCTCAATTACTGATACTTGGCTATGAGCCCAGGCACCCATTACTTTGATTTTTATTCATGTGCTTTATATAGTCTTTTTAAAAATCACTATTTTTTTTTATTCTTACCTTGAACTCTGTTTAGCTGTTGCATTTCAGCTAGTGATTGTTGTTAGCTTTAATGATTGTTGTTAGGTTTTTTATTTTATTCAATTTCATGTTGGATTTAGAATAGCAGAGTGTGCCCTATAATTTGTCCTGGCCTGACTTTGCTAACTCTAACATCACTTGTTTTTTCAGATATGGCCTCAAGGTGGACATCTGGGCAGCTGGTGTAATCACTTACATCCTGCTGTGTGGGTTCCCTCCGTTTCGTGGGTATGGGCAGCAATCTTTTATTCAACACCAACAAACCATTTCTCTATTTTCTGAATGATTCATGTGCTCTTTTGACATAAAGGAGACATAGCAGGAAAAAAGAAAAAACATAAGAATTTCACTTGCAGTGCCTGTTCTTTTTTCCATGTTGCACATGCTAATTTATATGCCTTCCACAAATCTTCTGGATATAATTTAAAAAGTCATTCTTTCTTAACTGACCAAAACAGTTACATACTGATACATTCAATTACTTTAAAGACACACATTTTACACTTTTATAGGAAAAGGAAGGGCTCTGATGCTTAAGAATGACAAGCTGACATTTCAGTGCTGTTTTTCCTTGTGGTTCATCTACACAGAAGTGGTGATGACCAGGAGGTGCTTTTTGATCAGATCTTGATGGGGCAAGTGGACTTTCCTTCTCCATACTGGGACAATGTTTCTGATTCTGCAAAGGTAGGTTTCCAGGGCTTTCCTCTTCCATATGTACTTGTATCATATCTCCAAGAACTGACTTAAATTTTTGGAAATTTATTGTTGGAAAATAATGATCTTTTCGTCACTCAATGTGTATGACGTTCCTCTTGCTGTCTTGAGTACAAGTTTAACTTAAAACTCTACCCCTTAGATCCAATCATTTTGCATAGAAAATGATGAGTATTAAGCTCAAGGCCCTTATTTTATTCCACTGTTCAGCAGCCCACATCTGGACTTTGGACAGTGTAGAGAATTGAGTGACATTTCAGAGGAAAGGTCTAAAGTGAGAGGAGCTTTGATATGGCTGAGTGAACCAGGATGGGCGGGGGGCATTTTCCCCTGTAAGCAGGTATAGGAAACTGCCCGACTCTGAATGCTCTCACCCTGTAACCTGAGAGTTCACACTCACTGAGAGATAGGACCATCTTCTTTATCCCCACAGCAGCACCTGGGAAAGGGCATCGCATGATCGCTACTTTAATAAGTCTTGGTCCAAGTTAGAATATGAATGAGCAAAGCTAAAGTAGACTCTGGTACCCAGAGCCTGTGTATGTCAGGAACTGGATAACACATTTTTAGCCATTTGAGTTTTTACATGACGACTCCTAATTCAAAGGGGACGACCATACAACAAACTCATTATGAAGACCTAAGCTGTGTCTTCCTGGTCCGAAACCACTTTCAAGTCGTGAGAAACTTCACTTATTTCAAAACCATCAAATAATTTATCCTTTAATACTTCTGTTTTCTTGGTATTGATGAACCTAGAAAGTTTTGAATCTGGAAAACTTTTTATAGAATTTATTTAAGTAATAGTTTTATTTTTCTATCAACTACAAACTGTACATAGTTATCATTCCAATGGCTCATCATTCCTTTCCATTTTGAAGGTGTTATTCAGGTAGTCACAGGTAAGTGGAGTTGACATAGTCAAGATTTAGAGTTTAAAAGTGCTTTTCTAAATTAACAGCATGCCTTCGTGTTTTTCACTTCGAAGTCAGATAAATGTAGTCTTATGTTGCCCTTCTCAGGAGCTCATTACCATGATGCTATTGGTCAATGTGGATCAGCGATTTTCAGCTGTGCAGGTCCTTGAGCATCCTTGGGTTAATGTAAGTTACTTCCTCTCTTCCTGGAAGCATGCCTAACATTCCTTTTGAAAGGGGGTGCAGCTTTTCTCTTGATAACACCTCCTTTTTTATTTTATTTTATTCATTTGTTTATTTTTGGTACCGGGGATCGAACTCGGGACCTTGCCCTTGTGAGGCAGGCAGCGGCACCACTGAGCTAAATCACTGGCCCAAGCACCTTCTGCTTTAAAGTGTGGTCTTCAGATTTGTTCCTTCCTGCAAATGTGCAAGCCGTGTGCCATGAGGGCATCTGGTGTGTGCGTTTCATCTGATCCCCATTGAACAACCTTCTTACAAGGCAAGCATGTGTGATCCTTACTCCTGCCTTACACCCTCATGTTTGTGGTCCAGACTGAGGCTGAATAACTGTCAATCAGACAGCAGATCATCTAAGCCAGGCCTGCGTTTGTGTCATTCCATTCAAAAGGTACAGGTGACGTTGGAGTTTCTCCATGCACCTCAGAGCACTGTGCTCACAGATTACCTAGAGAGCTCCTTGAAAGGCATATTTTCCTGCAGTAGGTTCAAGGCGCTGCATTTCCAAAAGCTCCTAAATACTGCTTTTGTGGCTGTGCTTTCAATACCGGTTCTAATGATATTTCTTTAGCTATAATAGAATTCTTCAGAGGGCCAAGGATTTAGCTTAGGGGCACTGCACCTGCCTCACAAGTGCAAGGTCCTGAGTTCAATCCCCGGTACCAGGAAAAAAAAAAAAAAAGAATTCTCCAGAGCAGTTATTATTTTTTAACCTTTTATCTCTCTGCAACTGATTGATATGACTTGTTTTGATGAATAATAATAGAAGTTAACACCCACTGAGTGCTAAACTTCTGGAGACCATAACAGCTTTATAACTCTCTAGCCTAGTTACTGTTGTAATCCCTGTCAACAGATGAGGAAGTTCCATGGCTAGGTTGTCTGGTTTTCACTGCCAAAATATAAGACAGGTGGTGTGGATACAGATATGGACACAGAAATGGACAACCATAAAACTATGAGTTCATTTTTCACCAGCCTCCTTCCTACACTGAATAATCTGGCTATAAATTGAGGACAACAAAAGGCTTTCTTTATCTGAATTGTCACCTTGGTGAGTAGTAAGGAGGTTTCTTTTCACAATAACTAATTATGGAGGAGAGGTGTGATTGAAAGCACAGTCAGCAGGTGAGGTGACTACATGTACAGCGACAAGAGACTGGAATCTTGTTCATGCTCTACCACTTGTGGTCATAAGCCTAGGTTCTAGTACTTCACATGTCTGAACATGATTTTTTTTGTAGAGAAATTATTCTTTATCTTCATTAAATTTATTGGTACATATTAGGTATATAACACAGTTGCATTCATCATTGGGATTGTGTACCTATATATGACTTATCAGGTTCTTATTTTTCCCCATTCCCCAGCCTTCCCCTCAGCCCCTCCACCCTTCCCTATTTACAAAGACATTGTTTCTATGTTTTTCCTTTTCACAAATGTTTTAGTGATTCTTCACACTCTACTGCAAGGTTCTATTTATATGGCCGGAGAGTAGAAAGGGACAGGAGCACATAGAACAGCTAAGATTTATTTTGTCTTTTCATATAACCAAGTGTCCCAACAGGTATACAGGTGGGCAAAGATGCTAACACCTCAGCCCCTGGGAGAGTGAGGCAGGGGAGAGCATGTCCAGGAGTGATCACTTTGAACTTCAGCAACCTTTGTATTTACCCTGGCATGCTAAGCAAAAAGGATCCTGTACTATGAAGTGAGAAAGTTGAGGAAGCATCTTTTTCATCCTAATAACAAACTTATAAATTAAGCAGAGTGAGTATCCATTTTCCGATAAGGAGACTAAGGCAATAGGGATGATTCACCCAAAGTAGCCAAGCTTCTCTGAGTCAGAATTCGAAGCCAGTTAGCCTCACCCCAGCTATGCAGAACACTGCCACCGCCATTCCTTTTTTAGAGATGAAGCACTTTGAAGGTAACAAAAGAGTACAATGTGGACATCAACATCACGTTGTTGTAATGATTATTAGCACAAGTCAGCAACCATTCAAACCAGCTGACCTCGATCTCATGCCTTTCCATTAGGTATGCAGAAGGGCAGAGGCATAAGCCACCTGCAGGCCTTCTTAATGCATTGGTCCATAAATTGTCATGTTGCATGTCAGGATTAGAAAGACTGAGACAGAGTGAGCATACAGAACAAGCTGGAAAATTTGAATTCAAAATGTGGCCTTCTAAAGCTCATAATGAGCTATAGAGGAAAGAGATTCATAAGTTGATAAACAGCCATTTTGGATTTCCAAATGGGTCTTATTTTCACTGCTTGCTAGACCTGCCCTCTAACAGTAGTGTGTGAGACAAGCAGAGAGTTAGGGCAGTGAGCAGAGAAGCTGGCCTCTGTGGGGAGGGTTCTGTAGAGGAGCAAGAGCTCAGCGCTGCGAAGTCTGGAAAGGAGTCCAGCCAGACGCAGATATCTGCTAGACGATAACTTTGTGCATATGATCAAATGTATCTAAATATTAGGGGTCTGCTCTATCAATAATAGCCCAACCCAGCTAGGGTAGAGAAAAAATTTAAGGTATTACCTTTGAAAAACTAAAATTGTTCATTTTCCCAACTAGGGCATATACATGTCAGCAATAACTTCCTGCCACTTCTGTGTACTTTGTGCACATTTTTACACATGGTCCCGTGGTGCTAGCAGTTTCCATGGCCCCTCTGGAATTTGAATTTCTATTGTCATGTCAGCTTTCCTCTCAGAGTCTCTAAAATTATTTTCTAAAATCAAGGATGACATTTGATTAATCACCTAGATGTTTTAAAATTAAAAACAAAATATTTTTATAGAATTCGAACATATTTTTACAATCTATAGTGGTGGTATATCCCTGTAGTCCCAGCACGCGGAAGCCCAAATGAGCTCTGTAATGAGGTCCTGTCTCAAAAAAAAAAAAAAGAAAAAAAAAAAATTTTGAAGAAGCTGGGTGGGGACAAATGC